CCAGGAAATTGATATGATTCCCGGATTCTTGACGATTCCACATGCCCTGAGTGTATAGGTCGGAGCATACTGCTCCCCATCCAGTAGAGATGCATTGGTACTGAGGGTTACTGAAGGGCATCGGGGTCTGAATGGAACCCCCACGGTCAGGTTGGCTGGAACTGACCACCAGAGCAGAGAGTGGAGCACAGAGGATGAAATTCGAATCATCTTTGTTGGCAAATCTCTTTGTGGTCGGAACATCTTGTTGAACAGGAGTTGTAAAGGACGAAGGTGAAGTCTGGCGTGTGGGACCACAGCAACTGAGGAAGCCATATGCCCCAGAAGTCTCTGGATGGACTTTGCCAGAACCGTCATGTCTCATCGCATTCAATGGATATGGTGAGCGAGAGTCTGTTGTCTGTCCCAAGGAAGGAAGGCTTTCGCCACCGTAGAATCCAAACGGGCTCCGATGAAAGTGATCATCTGTGCCAGGAGAAGAGAAGATTTCTTGGTATTAATGCATAGTCCCAGATCTTCTAACAGGGCAGAGGTCATATGGATGGATGCAAGAAGTCCCTCCCTGGATTGGGACACCAGCAACTAGTCATCAAGGTAAGGGTAAATTTGTACCCCCTGGAGCCGTAGGAAAGCGCAGACAGGAGCCATACATTTGGTGAATACTCTCAGAGCAGTAGCCAGTCTGAAAGGCAAAACTGTGAATTCAAATAGTTGGGATGCAACAGCAAAACGAAGGAAGCACCTATGACCCGGGTGAATGGAAATGCGGAAATAAGCGTTCTTCAAATCCAATGAGGCAAATTCTATCCGATAGCCATGCTGTATGATGGACAATACCCACCGATCAGATGTGATGGACTCCCAAATGGGGAGTCGGCTTCTCAGCCAATCCCCAGATGAGGGTGGGTATGGTAGGAATCAGAGGAGTGGTTCGCCCGTCCTGTCAACGCTGCCTCCTATCTCCGTCGAAACGGCAACGGCCTTGCTGGTACCGTTGTGGAGGCTGTTGACGGTGGTGTTGCTGTTGCTGCTGGTGGTGTTGGGGCTGCTGTCTGGGCTGCTACGACTGCCTATAGAACGGACGGGTCCATGACCACTTACGCCTGGTCTGAGTCTGAAGCTTCATCCGCCGGGCCGTCATGCGGGACTCATGGAGTTTCTTCAGCTTGTGGTCGGTTCTCGAGTGGAAAAGCCCGGACCCGTCAAAGGACATTGCCTCTATACGTCTCTTCGTCTCCTCCGGAAAGTTACAGTTATGTAACCAGGCGTGTCTCCGAAGGGAAACGGCACCGACCAAGGCCCTCGAGTCCGTGTCCACATGATGTCGAGCAGTGGACAACTGTTGGGTGGCGACTTGCATTGCCTCCTTTATGAAGACCTTAGCTAGGTCACCTTGGTGGTCTGGGAGTGCTGAGACAATGTTATGGAGGCGCTGCATAATGAAGTATTGGTACCTTGCTAGCATCGCCTTGTAGTTAGAGATTCTCAGCCCTAGGCCAGAGGCAGCATACACTCGCCTGGCCAGGGAGTCAATCTTCCTTCCCTCCTTATCCCTCAGAGAAGTGTGACCTCTCAGCTCCCTGCCCTGGGAGGACTCCACCATGACCGAGTTCAGTTTGGGGTGGTGGAGGAGGAAGGGTATGTCCTCCTCCCGAACCCAGTACATGGATTCGTACTTCCGCGAAGTCAGCTGGGGGTGGGCGGGCAGGTCCCACAGTTGCGTCATGGCCTGTTGCAAGGTGGTAATCAGCGGCAGCACAATGGACATAGATTGCTCCCCGAGGACGTCGTAGAACTTATCCGTATTGGGTCCCGGATGCTGCACGGCATCGATCTCAAGAGACTGGATCAGGCGCGACATCAACTCCGCAAAGGAGATATTAGATTTGTCGGGTGACGCAGGGCCCTGGGAGGTCATGGCAACATCCGGGGAGGTGGAATCGACCTCCGAATCATCGGATTTGACACCATAGTATGAAGGGGCCGATGATGAGGACTCCGCTGGAGAGAAGGGTCGACTACTCTCCTCCCTAGGTGGTACCGGGGACACACGCCTCGGGCCCGAAGACAGTGTACGGTTGCGAGGAGATGGTGGAGAAGATCGACCCCTTGGAGCAGGATAGTGTCCAACAGAACGCGGGTCACCCCATGCATGGTAGTAGGAGCGGTATCATCCCTCCGATCGGTGTTCCAAGGAGTGACTCCTGCGGTTCCTAGGCGGGGACATTTCCACATCCGCCGCCAATGTGGCTGTGGGCATAGGTGTGGGGGACCTAGCCCTGGGGGGAGAATCCCGGATTTCCCCATCAGAGATTGACTCCCTCGATAGAGTAGGGAGAGGCTCTGCGGGAAGCTCAGCCATGTGGCAAGGGGACCCTTGGGGGGGTAACCCTCATAGCCGCCTGAAGCACCGGATCAGGTGGAGTCGGTACGGTGACTGCTGTCGGTACCGAAGGGGCCATCGAGCCCAAATCTCAGTGCCTAGGATGCTCTGGATCCTTGGATTTCTTAGGCAGCTTCGGAGCCTTATCCTTCCTGGGTTTCTTGTGGTCAGCTGGTTTGTCAGTACCGGTGTGCTTATGCTTCTCATGTTTCTTCTTAGGAGAAGCAGGCCGAGTGCCCATGGTAGATGCGCCTTCATCCGAAGGGAGTGAGGGCGGAACCACAGTGGAAGAGCCAGGCTTCAGAGCAGTCACTAGTGGGTCAGACTGGAGGAGAGCCCGATCCCACAAGAGCCTCCATAGGCGGTTTTCACGATTTTTCCTGGCCTGCTTAGAGAAGGCCAGGCAGTGAGAACATCTGTCAGTCCTATGCCCTTCCCCCAAGCAGAGGAGGTATAGGGTCATGCAGGTCTGCAGGAGACATCTTAGACCCGCATTCCGCGCACTTGCGGAAAGCTGCTCACTGCGCCATCGTGAGAAGAGGAAAAAGAAAAGATAGTGCAGAGGGTAAAATATATTTTTGTTTTTTTTTAAGTATAAAGAGAGTGAGAACAACAGAGAACTATTAGGAGGTGATAATAACGAGGAAGGAACAAGAACTACTAAACAGGGCTATTAAACTTGGAGAGAAGAACAATTGAAAAATAGGACAAGCAACGGTCAGAGTGAGAGCGAAAGCAGCACGAGGTACAGCGAACGGCGGTTGCAAAGACTGAACAAAATGGCGGACGCTCCGCTCTTTATAGGCTAAAGGGAGGGGGGGAGCAGAGCTTTCCCACCAAAAACCGTTAGCTTTCAATCTTCCAGCCAAAGGCACTGCGCAGGCGCAGCACCCATATGTGTGATGCACAGAGGCCACAACGAAGAAACAGTATATCACATAAGTGAGTACACGCCTCACATTTTGTAAATATTTTATTATATCTTTTCATGTGACAATCCTGAAGAAATGACACTTTGCTACAATGTAAAGTAGTGCGTATACTTGTATAACAGTGTAAATTTGCTGTCCCCTCAAAATAACTCAACACACAGCCATTAATGTCTAAACTGCTGGCAACAAAAGTGAGTACACCCCTAAGTGAAACTGTCCAAATTGGGCCCAAAGTGTCAATATTTTGTGTGGCCACCATTATTTTCCAGCACTGCCTTAACCCTCTTGGGCATGGAGTTCACCAGAGCTTCACAGGTTGCCACTGGAGTCCTTTTCCACTCCTCCATGACGACATCACGGAGCGACATCATTAGACATTAATGGCTGTGTGTTGAGTTATTCTGAGGGGACAGCAAATTTACAGTTATACAAGCTGTATACTCACTACTTTACATGGTAGCAAAGTGTCATTTCTTCAGGATTGTCACATGAAAAGATATAATAAAATATTTACAAAATGTGAGGCGTGTACTCACTTATGTGATATACTGTACTTCACTATAGGAACTGCTAGACATTTTCATAACATTTGCAGCAGCATGTGTGATACAACCATTCTCCTGGGAGGCTTTAGGAACCCTATTTATCTGTTATCCATGTTCATGACACTTTACAAAGAACCTGAGAACAGGCTCCTGCCTGGGGGAGTTTGCAGTTAAACAAGTAGAACCGCATCTTTGCATTTAGCTTGGATGGTGTCTAAAAATGCAAACAGCAGCTGCCAGAGGAGGCGGGGTTGCCTATACATTGGGATCACACTGGATAAAGAAGGCATTTAATCCTTACTTTCCTGGCTGCAGATCAGAAAAAATCACTACCCTGAACTGCTTGCATTGAGAGGAACGTTTCCAGCATCATATAAGGTACAACAGAAAGTGAGAAAGGAGGCCATTGCATACTGTAGCAGAGATGACAGAGTATGAACCTGAACTTTTGCATTTACTGAAGCAAAGGAGAGAAAAGATTATATGTATGCAATGTTGTAAAGGGAAAAGCAACCTGAGTTGGTGACAAGACTAAACATGGGAAGCAAGAGAGAGAAAAAGGAGACAGAAATAAAGTCAAGACTTCATGCCTATCCAAGAGAGTGGGTGGTAAACCTGTCAATGGATTTAAAAAGTATACAAGGAGAGAGGGGCTTCAGAAGAATGATTCAGTCTTAGGCACTCAGAAATCTAGAGCTACTGAAATTTATAAAACCTTCTTAAATAACTAGAGCAGACCAGTTCTTGGAAAAATGAGAAAGCAGCAATGTTTTATACAGACAGGCTAGGTGTCTAGAGCTAAAGATAATAGCAGCAGAGCTAAATCATGTCTAATCTTTAATACACTATAATCAACATCTTCAGTTTCTGCTAATGGGCTGCATGTTTTGAAGTTTGTGTTCATAACCTTGCCAGTTGAAATTTTGCTTCCATGGAAAACAAAAGTTCCTCATAGCTAGGAAAGTGGCTAAATCTCAATATACAGGCTATGCATGTGGCCCATAGTACAACTATGAAAACTCCTGCTCTTCCAATTATGATCAGAACATATTATTGAATTTTATGAATCCTGAAAGCAAGAAGTGTTACTTCAGAGACAAATGCCCCGGAAAACCCCTTATAAAACCAGAAGAATACCAGTTAATTATATTACACTTTTATTTTACAGTATTTCAAAAGCTCTTTTACATATACTTCAACTGGGAGAGCTGCAAATACTGACCAAAAAGAAGAGCATACCTATAAACTGAATACACAAGTTTTAATATTTACTTGTACTGAACCATTAATATCCTAATGGGTGTGTCATGAAGTGCAGTGGATTGGTGGCAATGCAGAAAGAGAACAAGAAAGAGAGAGCGAAAGACTGAGAGAGGGAAGTTAAAAGAAAAAGTAAACGTTACATCCATGGCTATACAGTGGAGGGCTTCGCAAACACATTTGGTATTGTAACATTCTAGACAGCAATATGCTTAGTAATACATATTTAATACAATACATGCCTTAGAAAGCTTGTATTCTGTGCGTGTAAACTTCAAATAAAATAGATACGTTTCAAAAGGAGAAATGAAAATAGTCTAATCTGAAAGTAAGCTCTTTATCTCAGAAGGACACTGAATTTAAGTGAACTTTGACTTACTGTTGTTGTCTTACACTTCCCCTCCCCTGCACATTGTTTCCTTTAACAATGTTTCCATCTCTTAATGCTACGTAATTGCTGCTGCTGTACAAGACACAGAAATAAGACTTTCCAAAGGGCAAAGCTTTGCCTCAGTACATTCAAGTCACTTATACAGAGAGTATCTATATGGCTCACACCACAAAAATACTTGGGGTAGATTAAAAGTTTAAACAAACAAAAAAGCCCTACAATTGCTAGCATCCCCCAAACAGCCACACTAACTGGGGCATGCTGAGAATTGTAGGCCTTATTTCTGTTTAAATTTGCGCAAGATTTCAGCTTTTAGAGTAGCACTTTCTTAGCTCTATTCCTGTGGAGCAAAACAGCAGTACTAGCATTGTCCTTAGATCCATGAAGATTTCAATAACCTAATTGCTATACTCCCTATTTTGCCTACCAAACCTTCATGACTGCATTACCTTTTCTGGAAGCTAAGTAGAGGTGAGATGCTCGTTTAAGTTCAACCTACAGTGAACTTTTAAACTGTCTACATGAGGCAAAACCAAGGGCCCAGCTCTGGGTTGGTTTGTTGGCTGTCTAAGTTAGGGCACTTGGGGGAACCTTTTTTGACTTTTCCAAGATGCATACCCTTCCCCAGACATCAGGCACATGCCGGCTTTTGCTGGCTCCACAGGCAGCTTCCACGTTGCTTCAGATCTTGCGTCTGCAGCCACAGGACATAAAGGTGGAATACAAAAGCACCCTACTGAAGGCAATGTATCATTTCCACCAAGCAACAAAAGTCTGAAGTGTAAGGCAGTGGCACTATGGCATATAGGTATTCTATTCCCTCCAGCCCTCTTCAATTCTCAGCTCTCATTATCAAATGAAAACAATTTCTGAATAAGGCCATCACCACACTTTCTACCACAGATAAAACTTGCAACAAGATATCGCCAGAGCAGAAAGCAACCTTTGAAACCCAGTGATTCTTAACCAACCTTGCTTGTATTTAGTGGTTTCTGATTAGATTTAGAAAGTCACGACCATCATTATTCAAGCATTTTTTTATGGTGGGTTGTTTACTGTACAAATACATGGACACACTTTTGTCATAATTTCTTATTAGTTAAGTCCAGATTGAGAGTGGTTAAGGGCTGACAAATTAAAATGCACAACATGTTAAGGGTGATAAAAATTCAAGTTTGAAGCAATGCCCATTGCAATGCAACAAGAAGAATCTCGATACACTGACTCTGAACACTGTTGAAAAAAAATAAAAAATAAATAAATGGCAAATATCAGGTTTTCCCTCTGAAGAGACCTTTCAGAGGAAATATAAAATGTGAAATAAGGCAAACAAAAAGGCAGTTCAATCTATGCAAAATTTAGGCTAATAATTTCCTTACACAGATATCCTGAGTTTTCTACTGAATGGGTTCTGTTTTATCATTAATTTTAATGCAATGCTTTATACACTCAAAAACATTGGGTAGACCATATTAAAATGTGAGGCAATAAAACATATGAGAACAGGGGTAGGAGACAAGGGAATGGATGAGTCTTGATTTGAGACCCACATCCTTCTGACTGGCCTAAAAGGCCAGATGTCCAATAAAATGTAAAACATAGCATATGTTTTGTGTAGTCTAAAAATCTGTTGCGATAACTTATTGCAAAATGCACTTGGCAGTTCACCACACCAAAGGAAAACTGGACCCCCTGCTGGTTCACACAGTCCTTTAGCTTCGACTCACAGTCACCAATAGAAGGATCTGGAGAGAAAATTTGCAGCTGTGCTTAACCAGCTAGCTGCACCTTCTGGGTGAGATCCAACCCGGGACACTGCTTTGTCCTGCTCCTTTGAGGGACTTTCATCTTCTGGCAAATACTCAGGGAGGTCAGTATTCTGTTCTACTTCAACAGGGGTATCTTGAAATGGAACCAGCATCTATGCAAAATAGGACAATCATATTATGGAGTTCATTTTAGAAAATCTGGCCTTGCCATGAAACTGAGCATCACTCATTTAAGCTCAACATTAGGGGCCAAATCCAGTCTACTTGGGGTTCCCCAGAGAACTATGCCTCCTTACCTGATCACCAATCATTTAGTAGGTTCCAGCTTTTGCAGTTTCCTCCAAACACAAGTGTATGACTTGTATTGTGCAAATATTCCATGCCCCAGCTCAAAGCAGAAATTAAAATTCCCCTGCTAGTATGGAATTTCATGCTTGTACCCACCAAGTTATTGTTGCATCCAGTGAATAGACTACTTTTATCTTATGCATTTTTCCACACAAGAGTAAAAAGGGGAGGATATAAAGATAATATACTCTCGTAATCTACTATACTAATACTGTTTTAATGGGAAACATTAACAAATTGCCTTTAAATTCCAAATAGTTCTCACCTCTTCTCCACTTTCACTTTTCACTACTTGCTGGGCTTTCATAACTTTGGTTGATGCTATTGCAGTTGCCAGCGCCTATACAAAGGAAAAAAGCACGGGGGGAGGGGGGGGATAGAATTCAGAAGCAGTTTAATAGGTCTCAACCTGATAGTGAAGAGTATGAAGGCAAAGCATTGTAGATCCTTACCTCTGCTTTCAAATCTGATCTGATTCGGACTACACATCTTTGAACTGCCATTTGAAAGGTAAAGCTGATGACTCCTTTAATTTTCAGCAAAGCCTCTTCACACAGGTTTCTCCGAGACTAGAAATTAAGAAAGCATGGGTTATGGACAAGCACTAAATAAACAATTATGGGCATTAACACTCACATACATGCACAACTATGCACTGTAAGGAAATAGTGTCACACACAAATGAAGTGGAATAGTCTTTTCTTTTTTGAGAGAGCAAGAGAGAATTGCTATGAATTTAGCTACGGATAATATTTTAAAATAACATTTCTCCTCACATTTTGAAGACAAACCAGGATGGAATCAACTGTGAATAATGAGGAGAAAGTGCTGAAAAGCAAAGAAAGCTTTCCCCTGTATGATCAGCTAAACAGTCCCCTGTGGTTAAGTTCTGACTGACTGAAATGCTCATTGATGAGCAGTTAGTGTTTAAGTTGCTATTTATCAGACACCTTGCATCCATACTGACTGAATGCATCAAAGCAGCTGTTGTATCCTTCAGCTACCTCATCTGTGGCAGCTCATGGACATCACTACACTGCACAAATTCCACTCTGGTTTCAAAGGAAAAGGCCTGCTCAAAACACGCAAGTACCTTTTACATTTAAAGCAAGTGACAGTGATTGCTGTGCAACAGCGCTACTTGGGGCTGTGCTAGTTGCAGCAGGTCTGCATTATTACCCCAGCACAGCTTTTCAAACACTAGTAATGTCGCTCAAGACAGTAATACAGGAACTCTTCGAGCAACTACATCACTAATATAACACTTTTGAGAATTATGAGAATTTTTCACAGCATCAACACAATCACCACTACCACTACCATTATTATAATCATTTTTACATTTATATTCTGCCTTTCCCCCTCCCTGTGAGGAGCCCAAGGTGATTTACATGATCCTCCTTCTCTCCGTTTATCCTCACACCAACCCAGTGTGGTAGGCTAGCCTGAGACTGAGTGACTGCTCAGTTGCATGCACTGAGCTTCATAGCTGACTAAGTCTTAGAACACAGATCTCCTGAGTCCCCTTGCAGCACTCTGACCACTTCAACACTGTTGCCAAACAACTGAGCCATGTTTTGATATACCCAACCTTGTTTTGACTTCATTGCTTTATAGAAACAATAAATCCAAGTCAGTTTGAAACACAGCTCCCTCTTAGCATCTGAAATAATTCACAGGTCCCTCACAGCCTGCACTAACAGCTGTGCACTCCTCTCCATATGTCAGATTGGGGGCCAAAACACTGGGCCAATTGAAATGTGATAGGAAATTATAGTTTTACTGCCACATGCATAAGCCTGGGAGAACTTCAGCTTCATATACTCCCCACTCCACTCCTTGCACATTGTCATGAGGTTAGGGACTCTTGTGTACACTGTTTAACATTCCAGCCCTGGAAACCAGGGAATCAGAGTTCAATGATAGTATATGGAAGGTTCACAGCCTGGTACAAGAGCATCCGTCTTGCATGCAGAAGGTCCCAGGTTCAATCCCCAGCTTCTCCAAGTAGGGCTAGGAAAGAATGCTGCCTGAAACCTAGAAAGCTATTGCTAGTCAGGACTGACAATACTGGCCCAGATGGACCTAGGGCCTGACTCAGGCAGTCTTCTACATATCAAGAGAGGATCACATGCTGGTTTCAGATCCTGGATTGCTTAAACATGACAATTTAACCAAACTATAATCCTCAAGTTAGGATTCATGAGAAACTGTAGTAATTTTAGCCTTCTCTTGGCTAAAAAAGGGCAGCAGCGAAACACACTAATCCAAGATTGATTCATGTAGAGTGGAATCGTGGTTTCCTCTTCCCTCTGAAGTTAGCCCAATCAAAGAATGCGAATGCCAAACCAAGATATCAAACTATCATTTGTCATTACATCCAAACTGGGCAAGCCAGAGTTTGCTTGTAAAACCAGAACTGGAAAATACAGTGGTTTTGTGTGACATGAATTTACTGTAAATTGTGGCAAAGCTGAGCCAAGACACTTTTCCAAAGTCTAACCACAACTTCAGCTTTCTCTCAACCTACTACCTCTCCAGATATTTTGGACTACAATTCAAAGGATTCCTGAGCGCTGGCCATGTTGACTACAATTGACAGGAACGGGAGTCTGCAAAATCTGGAGAGGACCAGGTTGAGAAGGCTGAGTTAGAGTGTAATCCAATGAAGTTGCCCATAAACCTTTAAACTTGGAGGATTATGGGCATCGTATTGCAAAACACAAAGAACATGGAGCAGTAAAGTTACCTCTGCACTCAAACCTCCCTGTAAAACACCTAGATAACCAATCTCTAAAGTCTGATTGTGGCATTTCAGAAAGGGAAAACAGGAGGTTGAGGTGCTGCCAGGATATGTCATATTTTGGCAACATCAGCCTCCTTCCTTCACAACAGAACACCCTGGAGCCCCATTTCCAGGTCACAAGACACAGCCAGAACAGTTCTTTCTGCACTAGCTGAGATGGGAGAACACTCCAAGTGCAGATTCTCAGAGTTGATTTCCAACCACAGAGTTGAGAATCCAAACAAACCTAGTCCTATATGCCCTGGGCAGGTTCATGCATAATGACAAGCTAGCATGGAAACCTCTGTGGCATGGCTTGTCTTTACATGTAAACCCAGCAAGAGTGGTGAAGCAAAGTAAGGATGGTCTCTGTGGATTTGTGGAGAGAAACAACTTTTTGTTGTATGGTTTCCACACATCACCATGGCTTGTTTGCGTATCTGAATTCTGTTTTGACATTTCCACAAGTGGATTTTGCTGTAAGAGACGCTGCAGGTGCAACAAACGCGTCAGCCTGCACTCGCTACTATCCAGGTCTCCCAGCAATTGCTGATGTAAATGTAGCCATGCTGTGATGGGTGGCTCCACCCTTCCATTTTTCTCTGCCTGTGCACAGTCTTCCCAATGTCCACCTGCAGCATCAGAATCTTGGTGGCAGCAGGGTATCACACTGTACCACCTCCAGCAGTGTCACGCTTGGAGACTGCCATATTTGATGTTCCTGTCCAGTTACTGCTGTTTACTCGAGCAGTGCTTTGAAATTGCTGCACCTCTGCTGCACTTTTACAGCCAGCATTCTCCTCTTGTGAAAGTTGCCCTACAAAACAGGAGCACACTGGCTGTGGAAGGCATCGCCAACAGGCACTTGCTCCGAAAAGCCCACGTCTTGCGCTCTATCTCACACCCCATTTTCTGCTCCTATCTTGTCCCTGACATTCCTTGGGATTGTCAACAAGCCCTGCTGTTGCCCGCAGGGCAAACATTTCCAACAGCCAAACGAGAAACTTTCCATGGCAGATATCCACACATGCTACCTCAGGAAGCTCTTCCCAGTGGGACATGCCACCTCTTGCCCCTGGTAAAGGTGCTCACGCTGCTGCCCTCCATGTGCCTAGCTTCAGGAAGAAGGTGGTCCTTCCAGCATATGCAAAGCCCATACAGAGGGACATGGGCACATCTGCAGGAAAGGAGGGGCAAGAGGATTTGTGAGCGTGCATGCGTAAGCTTGCACATTGGCATGGGGCATGGCAGAACAGTGGAGTGCTACTCTAGAGCAACAATGCTACTTTAGTAAGCAGTTGCTGCTTCTGAGCAGTTTAAAAAAAATAGGAGCAGCTGGCTGCCATGTCCAGGGAAAAGCAGACAACACAGGTAGGAGCAGTGTACCCAGGTATTGATTTTCAGTCATAGGGGTTGATGGGATACCAGTTCCCATTAGGAGGAAAGATGAAGTGTGGAAACTACATAACTTTCTGAACCCAGGATCCAAAGTAAGAAACCACATCACACGGTAATTGTGCTGCATGATTTAGCATTATGTGTGAACAGAGCTGCTGTCTAGGGGCCGTAAGATCCCTCTGTTAATCAAGACAAGACATGTCTAGGAAGATAACTATCTCAGGAGAACTAACTGTATAAAGAAACCCTACCATGTGCCTTTTAAGGACCTCAGTATACTTCTGAACATCATTGTTTCCCACAGCAATATGCTCACAGATCATTTCAAAGACGTAGACTTAAATAGTTTAGTCTAATTATTGTATCCTTGCTCTTCTTCTAAAAAATGACCAAAGCAGGGGAGAAAGATAAAAGAAAACAGCATCTCCATTAAGACAAACAGTAACCATCAAAATACAATAGTATTAAGACTTCAGTTTTAACTCAGCTCGACCTAAGGATACCGAGAATTGAAACGAGGGTCTTCTGTATGCATAGCCAATGCACTGTCACTTGAGCTATGCCTCCTCTCCAAATTTGCACAGGAGTTTAGCATATATACAAGATAATTCCAAAACTGGAGAATGGTTTATAAAGGGCACAACAAAGAGGATGGATGACAACATGTGTTCTGTATCCACCGAAGTATATTGTTGGGTATACAAAAATAGTGAATTATTCCAAATGAAATTTGGGCATTTTTTCTGTGAAATAGAATTACTCTTGTATTTTGGGAATGGGGTGTGCTGAACCTTTATTACCTTATCTCAGTTTTTCAGCACCTTGAAATCTCCAGGAAGAAAAAGTTAAGGAGAAAGAAAACATACTATTCTAATAATACAAAAATACTCCAAAGCTCTGAAGTGTTAAAGTTTCATGGATGAATATAGGTGTCCATGTTAGAAAATTCACTCTAAAATGCTGAATTGTGGCAAGTGCTGACTATATTTTAAGACAGCACTGACACTTGGAAGTCAAAGTGATTTAACAAAGAGTATTCTTCATTTACCTTTGTGGGCTGTAGTGGCATGTCATCAAATTCTGTGCACAAAGTAAAAGGCAAGTACAGATTCCTTCTTCCTAAGAACAAAGATGATTTTGAGGGCAAAAGATTTGTTTTGAAAAGGTGTGCTACTGCACCATCAGGGGCTACGGAAGCCCTTTGGATTAAGCATGACTGCTCTACGCTGACTAGAAATAGCCATCTTTACCTCAACATGAAGGAATTAAATTGCAAGGATCTGTGTTCATTCTGTTTAGAAGAGAGTACAGGAAACCCTAAGATGTGCTGACCACACACCATTCACAATGGCAATGTATATTTAAATTGGCAGGCAAAAGAGAAATGGGCAGCATTTTCCTGGCTTTTCAAAGAGCTTTAGAGACAGTGATGGGCAAACAAATGAGCTTCCAAGTCAGTAAATGGAACGGTGAAAAAACTATTGGAACTGATTAGACCTGGCTTAAGGAAGGGAAGGGGAAGAGAAAGAAAGGTGGGGGGAGTAACTAGAGGGGCAGTGGTGTGCATATGCTCATTATTCATCAGATTAACAACCACTGACTTTATTAGAGAAGATGGGATATCTACAAACCTGGTTCCCTAACAGGCTTACTTAGCAAAAATGTAAGCCAGTGCAGCAGCAGGTCAGGTTTGATCATTTAAAATGGCTACAAAACCGAAACAAAGAGACCTAAGGGCGCTTGTGGATAACATGCTCAAACTGTCTTACATGCTGCTTGGCAGCCTTAAAGAGGCAAACATGTCCCTGGGGTATTATCTACAGGGGAATGGAGGATGAATTTATAAAAGTTATTCTGACATTGCATAAAGACTCCACCGAAACCTCATTATCACAACAGTTTTCAGATAGCCAAAGGAATTTCAGACAATGAATAAAGATGTCAGGAAAAGCCAGCTAAGAAAATTCAACATTTTTTTAAACACCAGAGCCAAATGATTCTGAATATCTCATCATTTTAAAAGGGTTGAGGGGAGATAAAGATTACTTTGGTGACTTGGCTTTAGCTAGAAAGAGTTATAAACTGCAATATGAAACTGCCAAGCCCATAGGTAAATTAAATAGGCAATTTAAAAGTGGCCAAATACAGGTGGGGCAATGCAAACTAGAGATGCATAAGAGATCTGTTTGGGGATGGGGATCTGATGGATTCCCTGAGCTCAGCTCCCTGGACTCCAGTCTGCTTTACAGCAGCCCAGAATCCAAGTTTCAGACAAACGCTCAGAGCATTTGCAGGGTTCTTGCCAGGAATCAAGTTCCACATGTTGCACAAGCACTGGCAATACCGAACAGGAAAGAAGGTCTGTCATCCAGAACGGCACCTGGTGTGCCCATTCGCAGTGTACCTCTTTTGCATCCTGCAGCCATTGGAAAGGTTACCAGTTGCAGGACCAGGGGTCCAGGAGTGCTCACAGGCATCCTCTTGGCTTTGGAGGTCTGAGCTAAGCATGAGAAGAAGTCTGTGATGCTGAAGGGATGGATTCTGAAAAGGTTTGTCCCAACCCTAACTCAAATAAGCAGATACACCAGAAAACATTTCTGATGTTAGCTTATTTATTTATTTAAAGTTTTATTTAAAGTTTTTATATGCCGTCCCCATTGCTACACAGCCTCGGGATGGCTCACAACAACAAATAAAATGAATAGAATTACAATTACAATTAAAACTTGGAAACACACTGGCTGCATAATTAAAACTATAAATATTAAAGATTATTCAAATACTGTTTGAATAAAAAGGTCTTGGCCTGGCGCCGAAAAACAAATAATGACGGCGCCAGGTGGACCTCTCTGGGGACCGCATTCCACAGATGGGGCGCCACCGCAGAGAAAGCCCTCCTCTGGGTACTTTGCTTCCTGATATCTCTTACAGAAGGCTCCCGGAGGAGAGCCCCTGCTGCCAATCTCAAGGGGCGGGAGGGTAAATATGGCTGCAGGCGTTCCTTCAGGTATCCGGGTCCCAAGCTGTTAAGGGCTTTGTAAGTAATTACCAACACCTTGAACTGAGCCCGGACTTCAATGGGAAGCCAGTGAAGCTGGCAGAGGACTGGGGTTATATGAGAATAACGCCCAGTCCTTGTCAGCAACCTGGCTGCTCTATTTTGCACCATCTGAAGTATCCAGACTGTCAGCCCCACGTAGAGCGCGTTACAGAAATCCAACCGGGAAGTAACTAATGCTTGCGTCACTGTCGCTAGGCAGTCGTCCTCCAGGTAGGGACGCAGCTGATGGGTCAGCCGAAGCTGATGGAAAGTGCTCCTCACCACCGCCGACACTTGAGCTTCCAAAGTCAGCTCCGGGTCAAGGAGCACTCCCAAGATGCAGATCCTGTCCTTTAGAGGGAGTGCAACCCCATTCAGGACAAGATCCAAGTCACCTACCCAGGAGTTCAACCCACCTACCAGCAGGACCTCCGTCTTGTCTGGATTGAGGTTCAGTTTAATGGCCCTTATCCAGCCCATTACCTCGGCCAGGCACCGGTTCAGTACAGCCACTGCCTCACCTGGACTGGTTGAAAAAGAGAGGTAGAGCTGTGTATCATCAGTGTACTGGTGATTCCACAGCCCACACCTCTGGATGACCTCTCCCACCGGTTTCATGTAGATGTTGAAGAGCAAGGGGGACAGAATAGACCCCTGAGGAACTCCATGGCATAACTGCCATGGCGCAGAGGTAAAGTCCCCCAGCACCACCTTCTGGAATCGGCCGTCGAGGTAGGAGTGGAACCACTGCCAAGCAGTGTCTCCTACTCCCAGCCCCCTTAGCCTATCCAGAAGGATACCATGGTCGATGGTATCGAAAGCTGCTGAGAGGTCCAGGAGAACCAACAGGGGTGCACTCCCCCGTCTCTCTCCCTGCACAGGTCAACATACAGGGCGACCAAGGCAGATTCAGTACCATACCCAGGTCTGAAGCTGGACTGAAATGAGTCCAGATAATCAGTCTCATCCAAGAGAGCTTGGAGTTGTCCCGCCACCACCCGCTCCAGCACCTTGCCCAGAAATGGGATGTTGGCCACCGGTCTACAATCAGCGGCCATCTCTGGATCCAGGGACGCCTTCTTTAGGACCGGCCTGACCACCGCCTCCTTTAGAGGGGCAGGCACCCAGCCGTCCTTCAAAGAGGCATTGATGACCTCCCGGATCCAGGAACCAATCCCGTGTTTGGCTTTGGATAGTCCAGTACACAGGTGGTGGTACGTCCATGTAGAATTATGTATTAATATTTACTCACAGGAACTCCTACATCAGTAGCAACAACCTCTTCCAGTCTAAACTCCATTTTGGAGAAGCTCTTGCGGGAGGGGTCATTCCAGTAGTGAGCAGGGCAAAGGGTTAAAGACATGAAGCCCCAAACACCAGCATATTTTAACTTAAAGCTCTTACTGTCAGTAAGTAAGCCTTAGGAGAGCCATTTTAGTCTTGTAGAATGGGAAAGAGACCACCAAATTATCTAGGATTGGTAGAAAGAGGGTAAAAGGGGCCCTGCATTTTGGAGAACCCTGTGCCTGAGGTTCTCTGTGTTACACACATCCAAGAAACCTGTAAAACAGTCTCTATTCCAGTCATTATATTTATGATATTTTGTACCTAACATTTTATGTACATGGCAACTTAAGTTACAACTTACATTTTTAAAAAATCCCCTCATACATTCACACCCCAGTATAGTCTGTAGACCAAAAATACTTATGAATTCCTTACCGAATCGTCAAGGCCATCTATATGTAAAACCACTGTTTTTGCGCGTTTATTTGTACTTCCCAGGAAAAACTGAGCTTTCCGACGCCGAGAATTCATCTCGTTTACATTGTCCATGTCAGACATACTGGAAGACTGAAGAATGTCGTAGATTTCAGAGGCTAACAGTTTTGTCTCCCCTGGTGTCGTGGTCCTAAGGCAAAGCAAATTGGGATTTTTATGGATTTTTCATTACAGTATCTTTTCCAAGTGCAAGCCACCCATGTGAAGCTACAATATGTACCAACTGCCTCTTATATCTCTAAGATACTGCTACTCTTAAGTGAAATTAGGAAACATCAAACCTAGGCAAAACCCCCAGCTTGCCCTTCAAATGGTCTAGCATATGCAGAGTTATTACCATCAGCCACTGTAGGCTTCAACAAGTTCTTTCTTACACTGGACTTTGGGCCAAGAGTGACCAGAAGTCATGCACTGAGAAAGCAGAGCCAACTTCACATGGAATGGTTGTTCACTTAATGCAGCAGCCTTCAAACAAGTTTACACAGCTGTCATAGCTGGACACAAGCTGCATGCCCCACTTGATTAAAGCCAAGCCTGCTAATTACCCTAGACTCCCCGATGGAGGGGTCTTTCCACACCATTTCCTAAGGGAAGGGTGACCCGAGGCAAGCATATAACTGTCAGTGTATAACTGTCCCTCAGCCTACTAACCTCCCCTGGCTTCAAGCAACATGGACTGTTTACTGAGTAGGGACCTCTGCCCCAGACAGCTTAAGATGTCACTGTAGGCTTCAAGCACAAGCAATTCCCTTCCTCTGCACTCCATGTTTCAGGGGTTTAGGGTTCATGGTCTTGGTGCTATGGCATGGACAGACACACATGTTTATTACAGAATACCACTTTAAGGCTGGTGAAATGTCACAGGTGAAAGGAAAAGCTGAGGTAACAAGAAACCTCCAAATCCTTGCTTCTTTCACCCATCCTTATGTGAGTAAAAACCTCTCTGGATTGCTTTCTTCCCTCCAATACTCTCCTTGCACTCTGTCTCCCAGCCATGGCATCCCTCTTTCTTCTGCTGAGTCCCTGACTATTTTTATTCTCTCTCACTATGAGTGCTTTATGTTTTCAGAGAGACCATGTGCTTGGCAGAGGACATGCTTTTATACAGAAGGACCCAGATTCAATGCCTGGCAACTCCAAAGTTGGAAAACTCAGGCCGAAAACCTGGCAGTCAGTGCCAACAAAACTAACTCAGTATAAGGCAGCTCCCTGTGTTCTCCATGGGAATGCATTTATTCATTTATTTATGAAGGGATGCACTCAACTGCAGCATCAGAGTGGGAACTAAGCCTCCTCTCAATCGCTAAGAAACAAACTGAAACTGACCTGCAGAGACTCATCTTGAATTCGGTTTCTGGGTCACAGAAGTGAGATAGAAAGTGTGGAGTGTTATTTGATGAATAGGCAATATGTATTTCATGCACTGTTATTAAACTGGTTTGGGGAAAATATTTAATGACACAAGTAAGTTCTTATCAGCATCGGTTAAGAGAAGAATGAAGCAACACTGTTCTCCTTAATGACACAAAGGAATAGGGAAAAGAAGAAAGTTCATGCAAACCCTCCTATTTTCCCATCACAGGAACGGCCCCTGGCTTTCAATACTGTCAGTGTGGCATATTTCACATGCACTAACACTAAAATAAAATATGCTGTCCTTTTTAAAAAGAGCATCTTGAGCAATCTTTCCTTTCCAGAAGCTGACACATGAGAGCCTGCTTCAGCCTTTTTCCCTCATAGCTGTTCAATTCGCATGGATGGCTACTGCATTTCTAACATTTTAGAATTTAAATAGTGTCCAACTGCCAAGTCTTGAAGATGCTGCTTATTCTACCGTCACCACTGATATGCCATTCTATGTAAGTTTTACTTTTTCACCACATTTCCTATAGGACAAATGCCAACAGTTGCATGGCTTGTTCTTTCCAAACCCTCAGCTCCTACTGCCCAACTTTGTGCAACAGATTACTAAGATTTTAAAAAGAGAACTATATTAAAACAGGAGGTCCAAAATCACTGTAAAACTGAAGCCTTTTGCCACCTCAAGGCTTCTTTCATTTCCACATGGTATAACAAGGACCACCAATGGCTTTAGGCAAATATCTTCCTCTATAAATACCTATTCTACCTCTGCCATCTTCTGTGAAGGCATTATTGGACATTCGGCAACCAGCAGCTTATCATCACGTAGCGGCAAGTGAGCACTCCCAGCAACAGCACCCACTGTCTGGAAGTACAGTCTGAGAGATAGAATCTGTAGAGCACTTTACAAGCCTCTTGAAGACCTATCTCTGCATTCCCTGTCTTGTAATTGCACTGCTTTGTCTTACTATGTATACTTTCTGAGGCATTTATTATCTCAGATTGTTTTTACATTAGATTTATATTCTGTGTAATGCATTTTAATACATATTGCTTAATGGTCTTAAGATATCAAGCAGTCAACAAGTAGCTTGAATTAATGGGGCTTAGACAAATCAATGGCCATCATGGGCTGCTAGTCATGATTACTTCCAGTTTCAGAGACGATATGCCCCTCAAAAGAACAGCTGCCGGAGAACTTGATGGGAAGGTGCTGTTTCACTGGTTGTCTGCTTGTGGGCTTCCAATAGGCATCTGATTAGCTATTGTGGAACAGAATACTAGACTAGACAGGCCTTCAGTTTGACCTAGTATGGTTCTTTCATATTCTTATGATAGGCCAAATTGTTTGGCCAGTTCTCAAAATCTGAAGGTGCGGGGGAGTAAGTGCATTGAACACTGTCATAAGAGCAGCCTTCCTATGTGGTGGTGGTAGGTGGACTTATTTTTAAAATCCATTATGGCATTGCCTTTCATCGCAGCAATGTGGTTCTACCTTGGCAGTTCCATTATCATTTTCTTAACAACAAATTTACCAGATGCAGTAACATTCAGAGATATTTTGAGTGGGTCAGGAAAACACAAAAACATTGGGATGCCACCAGCACTTAACACAAATGAGTGAATCACTACCCACATCCACACATTGGAAAATTGCACACAAATATGCAGATAGCAAATGGGAATGTGATAATAAGGTACTATTTAGTGCAGTCCAGACCTCTAGAAAGATTTTATTCATAAGTTTAAGTTAAATGATTTTCCATGATTTTGCAATGCCACATTTTTATAGTACAGGACAGCTGTTTTTGTACGGGTGAGTTTGCTTTTCTCTAAGCATCACCAGTTTGTTTTTCATAGAATCATAGAAAAGTAGAGTTGGAAGGGGCCAGAGGGCCACTGGGTCCAACCCCCTGCTCAGTACAGGCCTCCAAGATAAACCATCCTTCTCAGATGGCTGCCCAGTTGCATCTTGAATGCCTTTAGTGTAAGAGTGCCCACAACCTAGTTGGGCAATTGGTTCCATTGTCCTACTGTTCTGTCAGGAAAATTTTCCTGTAACTTGAGCATGTTAGTTCATGTTCTGCACTCTGGAATGGACAAGAAGAGATCCTGTCTTTCCTGTCCTTTGTTACTTTCTTTGTGAGGCAGGCAAATATATGATTGGCATTTGGGACTCAGATCCCACTTCTACCTTGTACTCAGTTTCTTAGTCAAGTTACATGTCTTAGAGCCTTGTCAATTTGCCTTTTGTGAAATGGGTATCAGAGCAGAAAAAGATGGTGTTGTAGAATCAGGTGAACAGCCATTGCTCACCTCCTCTCAATGCTCACCGCCTCTCAAAATTATAAGTTTACTAGCTGACCCATAAAGGTTGAGGACCACTGCTATTGCACAGTCCACATTTTAACCTTTTAAGTTGTTTTTCAAATGCTTATTGAGCCAGTCAGGAAAGCTATCAATTCTTAGTTATTTTCAAATTCAGAAGGTTTTTAGTATTTTATGCATTTCCACCTTTGTTATGCACACTTTCCTTATGCATATTAATAACTGTATAACTTATTTCTGACAATAAAAGCATTTTATTAGTAAGCAAAGTATTAACTGAATTAGATTTTTTCCCAGTACATAACTCTTGATTATATAGCAAAACCTGCACTATATTCTCAGATAAATTATTTTGTTCTGCACTAATGAAACACACTAGATGGCATTGCTGCCTTTTCTTAAGATAGTCTGCAATTAATCTTAAGTTGTATTCCCAAGCTGTTAATACAGTTAAAACAAATAATGCTGTTTTGTGTATATAAGTGATTTCTTTCTCTTTCAATGCTGAATTTCTGAAATATCTACAAAGAATATTAAGATATTTCATAAAGTAATGATCATAGTGTCAGAATAGCATTTTATAAAGAAAGAAGATGCCATGAGCTCCTGGGAGGAAAGGCAGCAAAGAAATGTAACAAACAAAATCTGTTACTTAAAATATCTCTTGATCAGAGTCATATTAGGCAGGGGCCCAATTGTATAAGGCTACTTACAGGAATGTGGTCTAACCATGTTCCTGATACTACTGCACTCATATCAGAATCCTCTAAGTCATCAGAGAGAGAAAGAATTTCTTTTGGAGAAATTTTATGATGTTGAAAAATAACTGCAAGTGAATGCATTTCCCTCCAAATATCTCACTGGTTTTCATTATAAATATAGTCAATCATGACTTTTATTACTGCTTTTCAGTTTTTGATAAGATTTCTCCTTTTAGTTCTTTAAATCTGAAAGAGATAAAGTTTGAAATCACAGCTTATTGCCACAGAAATTTCATAGAAGAGTTCCAGTTACTGATTATCCTATAAATATTCTTAGAAAATTCTGTTTGACCTTCATTGAACTATATACTTGCAATATAAAATGTGTTCCCTTTAACCTGCCTTTTTGATCAACAAGCTAAGAATCTAACTGGAAAAAAAAGTCTGATTGCAGAACAAGAGTGCAGAAATAGAGTTCTTTTGTTTGTAAATGCCAACAGCGATATGTGAAGAATTAAGTTTATGAAAAGGAATCTGTCCTTTTTTCTTTGCTCATCTCCCTGGACTCTTACTTGCTTCTTTTTGCCCTAAGTCCTGCTTACATCAAGTATATTTATGGGATTCTGGCTGGAAGTGAGTCCAACTATTGCACAGGTACAACTTGAAAAGAAGGCTTGTACACACACTACCTGCTGTCCACCACCTGTGCCCCCACTGTGCAAGCAGTTCTGTTTCTGCACATGTGACTTGCATATTGCCAAGTATTACACATCCTGTTTCAATGAATATGGGTTTTTTCCCCTAGCTGGAGAACTAGGCATTTGCCCCCATTGAATTTCATTCTATTGCTTTCCGCCAGCATTCTAGATGACCCTGGATTTCTTGCCTTCTCTTCATGAAATCTGTCTGAAGTGTTTCATTGTCTGGACTTAAAACTCCTCCCTACTGTCTGTTATTCCACCATTCTTTTGGTCTCATCATTTTTTAGCCCCAAATAAAATCTTTTACCATAGTCAATGCTTTTGTTGTTTCAGAACACTAAGTATATCTAATGTTTTGTCACACATTTTAGCATGATCAGCAAGCATCTATTGTTCTAGCTCTGTATGTAGCTCCCTCAATATTAAATACCCTTCCTGAAGCCTTTAAGAGATGAATTGGCAATGGCATCTTGAGCTGCCTTCATCATCCAGTTTAACTTGCAATTTCTTTTAGTTACCAGCAAATAGCTAAGGATATCATTAGAGCTGATTTTGAAACCAAATACTTGGGTTTGCTGATTTTTTTCCAAAGGCCAGTATTTCACAATGAAATCACGGAACTGTTGCTTATTTAAGATATAGTCATTTGTGGTACATGCCAGCAACATCTGAATATTCAACACCCAAGAGCAGTTGCCATGGGTTGACTTGCTGCCTGGAACAACACAAATAACACTGTAATAGACCATGGGTTACAACACCTGCTGGTTGGGTACAGACAACATGACAAACCATGGCAACCCCCTTCTGGAAGTTGAATATTCAAAATGGCTGTCAGCACATGCCACAGCCCATAGTGACTTCAAAAAGCCATGGAGGGGCTGTGGTGATTGCATTAACTGGGCCACAGTCAATTCGATCTTTTCTAGCTCTCCAAGTTTTAATAATTAAAGGAAAGAAGAAGCATTGAAAGCAGCATAAAATTCAATCTGAGTTACTAAATTGTTTTAAAAGTTTACAAAAATGTCTGCATATGTTGCCAGACCTGCAAGGGAATCCCATGCAATTAAATACATATTAACTGGGCTAATCATCTTAGACAAGTAATAAATTGAAAAAGGCTGTTTTGGATTTAGTTCAGCACAACATTCTGGCAAAGGCAGGCTATCTTGGAAAAAAGTGTTTCTATCTAGGTAATTGGAATTGGCTTTCATTAATTGCCACTTAGTATCAAGGGCTGCTGTTTTATCTCAAGTCTCTAGCACATTTCTTTAAAGTTACATGAGAAGATAGGCATCATAGTGCTACCAAAGATTATGGAAGGTACTATAGAGTTTGACCTGTACTACCCATGAATTATTTTCCCAATGAACACAGAACATATCTACTTACTTGCATACTATAGCTCAATTTTACATGATCCACACATTAAATACTTCACAACTTCATTGCTCACAATCATTCAAACTATCATCCTATGCGCACTTACTTGGGAATCAGGTGGGATGTATTCCCAAGTAAACAGCATAGCATCATTCTGTTAGGCTCTTTATGTGGCTTAAATTCTGACAGGTTGCATCAACATCTATTTGGTGATATTACAAGCCCACAATGCATCAGTGCAAAATACAATAGAAGCAGACCTCATCTAGGATCAGGACCATTAGCTAAATGAAACAAAAGCAATCTTTTTTTTTAATGCATGCTTTCAGATTTGCATGTAGCCACTTACCTGGATGCCTCTGAGATATTAGAATCTTTATCAAAACATACTTACTGGGATGTGCTTTTTCATCTCTCATACCACTTCAAAACCTACTTTACTAAGTTACTTTGCAACTTTACTATTGTGATCTTCTTTCATGTTCCATTTAGATTTGGAATTTATGTCAACTACTTTAGTATCAGCTGCGCCCCTACCTGGAATACGACTGCCTGGCGACGGTGACA